ATTTCTCATCCCTCTTTTAGGTTTTTCCCCACCACGTCCTATCAGGGTGCCCTGAGCAGCTCCTCCCTCCTTGCAGGACCTTCAAGCGGCTCTGGAAGCAGGTCTCGGAGAACCTGGACCTCTACCGCAACTTCCCTCGCCTGGCCGGAGGTATCGGCCTCCCCCACAATTTTTGGGGTTCAGGGGCAGCTCCTCCCCTGCCTGGGGAGGAGAGGGGCAGCGTTCCCATCCCTGTGGGCAGAGGGTGCAGGAAATCCCTGGATATTCCGAGCTGTGGGAGTGGCACGGGTTGGGATTTTGGGGTGGGGAGCTGGCGCTTGGACCACAAGGTTTGGTGTTCCAAAGTTTGGGAATTGAGGGAGGATCCTTTTCCAGGGGTTTTATCTGCCTGCTCCAGGGTTGTGCTCCTGGGGTCACGGCTCTCCCTGCCCTGATGCCTTTTGGGGCTGTCAAAAAACAGAGCAGACAAAATTAAGGGAATAAAAAGTGCTTGTATTTGCTGAAAGGCCTTCAGGTGCATCTCAGGCAGGGGCTACACCCAAAAATGGACCAGGGTTTTTCACACTTTGATAATTTTGGTCCATTTGCATATTGGGGGTTAATCCTTCAATTCCAGCTTCATCTAATGAAGTAATTTACCCCAAGTTTGCCCCCCAAAATTCCCTTTTGTTTAACTTCCCATGACCTGAGGCAGTGAGGTGTCCTTGACTGCCAGGCCTGGAGGGGAATTGTTGTGTGTGCCCAAAACCAGAGAGCAGCAGCTGAGCCTGTGCGGAGTTTGGAGCTCTGCACTACAGAACTGCAGGGTTATTATACAAATTACAAATTGCAAATACAAATTACAAATAATAAAAAATAGATTAAAGGAATAGATGCAATCCTGAGACATCAGCTCCACCTCGATGCTGCCTTGTATTTACTGAAGGGGTTGCAGGTACATCTCAGGCAAGGGTTACTCCCAAAAATGGACCATGGTTTTTCACAGGTTTTTACACTTTGATAACTTTGGTCCATTTGCATATTGGGGGTTAATCCTTCTATTCCAGCTTCAGCTAATGAAGTCATTTACCCCAAGTTTGCCCCCCCAGCTCCCTTTTGTTTAATTTCCCGGGGTCTGAGGCAGTGAGGTGTCCTTGATCAGGCCTGGAGGGGAATGGTTGTGTGTGATCCCAAAACGGGAGAGCAGCAGCCGAGCCTGTGCGGAGTCCGGAGCTCTGCACTAAAGACCCGCAGGTCCCAAACTCACTGAAAACAGCAAAACCCAGACCCTGAGCCGTCGGCTCCGGGGCTGGCCGAGCCCAGGCGCCCTTCGGGAGCCGTGCCCCCCGGCAGCCCCTCCGGTGCCCTTTTCCCTGCAGAGTGCGGAGGGAAGAACTTCCACGTGCTGCACGGCTCGGCGGACGTGGGCAGCGCCGTCAGCGCGACCCTGCGCTCCGCATTCGAGTTCGGCGGGCAGAAGTGCTCCGCCTGCTCCCGGCTCTACGCGCCGGCCTCGCTGTGGCCCCACATCAAAGAGAAGCTGCTGGAGGAGCACGGCAAGATCAAAGTGGGAGATGTGAGCCGGGCTGCCGGGCTGCCGAAGGGCTTTGCGGCTCAGCGGGAGGCTGATGGGATTAGGGGCTGCGGGGACTGGCTGCTAATTCCCATTGAAGCGAGCTTTTCATCCCACCGCCCCGCAGCTCCCGGCCCTGATGGGAAATTAACTTGTAGCCGCTCTGCTCCGCTTCTCCCCGGAGAACCGGAGCTGCCGGGACACCGGCCAGGGTTTCTGGGCGAGCTGTAGCTGCCTCTGCTCCCGAGGGAGCTCCGCGGTGCAGGGCGTGCTCTCATCCCCTCCCCTCTGCCTCCCGCAGCCCACCCAGGACTTCGGGACGTTCTTCTCGGCGGTGATCGATGACAAGGTGAGCCCGGAGCAGCCCAGGCTGGGTTTGCTGCAGGAATGGGACAGGGCAGGAATGGGGACAGGGATCCAGGTGAGCCCAGGCTGGGGATTGCTGCAGGAATGGGACAGGGCAGGAATGGGGACAGGGATCCAGGTGAGCCCGGAGCAGCCCAGGCTGGGGATTCCTGCAGGAATGGGAACAGGGATCCAGGTGAGCCCAGGCAGGAATGGGGACAGGGATCCAGGTAGCCCAGGCAGGGGATTCCTGCAGGAATGGGGACAGGGATCCAGGTGAGCCCAGGCAGGAATGGGGACAGGGATCCAGGTGAGCCCAGGCTGGGGTTTGCTGCAGGAATGGGACAGGGCAGGAATGGGGACAGGGATCCAGGTGAGCCCAGGCTGGGGATTCTTGCAGGAATGGGACAGGGATCCAGGTGAGCCCAGGCTGGGGATTCCTGCAGGAATGGGACAGGGATCCAGGTGAGCCCAGGCAGGAATGGGGACAGGGATCCAGGTGAGTCCAGGCTGGGGATTCCTGCAGGAATGGAGACAGGGATCCAGGTGAGCCCAGGCTGGGGATTCCTGCAGGAATGGAGACAGGGATCCAGGCAGCCCAGGCAGCCCAGGCTGGGTTTGCTGCAGGAATGGGACAGGGATCAGCTGGAGCTGGCTGGCAGCTGAGCGCTGTGTGCCCTGCTCGTGAAAAAGGGGGAATTTCCCCCAGAAATCGTCCTGGCCTTGAGAGTTTTGTGTACCTCCCCTGCTCCCCCTCCTCTTCTTCAGCCAGGAGGGCACCGAGAGTGGTGTGTCCTGGGAGGAGTGACCCAGACCCCCTTTAAAACCCCCAAACCTCCTTGCAGACCCCCCAAACACACTTTTCCTATAATTCCTGACCCAAACCTCCCTTTTAAATCCCCAAACCCCCCTTCCAGACCCCCCAAACCCACTCATTTCCTGTAACTCCCACCCCAAACCCCCATTCCAGACCCCCAACTGCCCCTGTTAAACCCCCAAACCCCCCTTTTAAACCCACAGACCCCCTTCTAGACCCCCAAACTCTCCTTTTAAATCCCCAAACTCCCCTTTTAAACCCCCAAACCCCCTTCCAGACCCCCAAGTCTCCCTTTTAAACCCCCAAACCCCCCTTCCAGACCCCCGGGCCCCCCTTTTAAACCCCCAGAGCCCCTTCCAGCCCCAGGCCCTGGTTCCCTGTCCCTGTCCCCAGGCCTTTGCCCGGATCAAGGGGTGGCTGGAGCACGCCCGGAGCTCCCCCAGCCTGACGGTGCTGGCGGGCGGCGGCTGCGACGACAGCGTCGGCTACTTCGTGGAGCCCTGCATCGTGGAGAGCAGCGACCCCCGGGACCCCATCATGAGAGAGGTGGGGAACCCCAAATCCCCATCATGAGAGAGGTGGGGAACCCCAAATCCCCCGGGACCCCATCATGAGAGAGGTGGGGAGCCCCGAATCCCCCGGGACCCCATCATGAGAGAGGTGGGGAGCCCCGAATCCCCCGGGACCCCATCATGAGAGAGGTGGGGA